ACGGGCGGCAGGGAGCCATGCCCTCGCTGTCTACCCACTCTTTTCTGAGAGCAGAACAGGGAAGGTGGTGGCTGAAGAGAGAAGACCAAGGTCTTGTAGCAGCTGAAACTTGTCCCTAGAAGAGCTGACACACTGAGGATATTTGGGCTTTTTTAGTCCTTAGACTGGAGGTGCCAGCAGGTCAGCACATTCTGCGTGAAGTCAGAAAAACTGCTGCAGGACCAATTTGTCTTTACACACTGACTGTCCTCCAAAGGTAAGACAGCAAATGCCGCGGGGTGGGGTGCTGCGGGTGGATTTCACTGTTGGCTAAAACACAGGAACAACTGCAGTAGGAATGGAACATGACATGACAGGCCGGCGCGTGGGTTAGATGGCTGAAAAACCAGTAACCAGTACAGGATCAGCCTGGTTGAAGCGTCCACAGAGGGGATGTGCCTGGAGATGTGCTAATGATGAATGAAAACCACCCAGAGGAGTCCATGTATCTATGCAACTCCAAACAAATTTGCAGTTTTCCCTGCATGTGTAGTGAAGCTTTGCTGCCAGAAGCCTTTAAGGAACACGACACACATCCACAAGCACTGCTTGAAAAAAACATCAAAATAAAACAAGTCATTGAAACACCCATCCATTTTTTTAATCAGGCAAAAAGCCATTTACCACTCTCTAAGCTAGTCCCCAGATCTGCGTGCTCTTAACCCCCCAGCTGAGACAGGAGCTGTGCTGGCAGGTGACAGCAGCCCGTGCCACTGGACGCAGCCACAGTTCTCAGGCCATTTGCTCTGCTTGGTTTTGCTGGCAGTGGATTTAATTCCTGCCCTGGTTTGCAGATTTTCCAGCATATTCGAGGCCTCTCTTCAGCCCTCAGTCAGACTTTGCTGTGTGAACTGAGTGCAGGAGGACCCGAGGACATTTTGTACACATCCCCCTAACAAAACCTCTGCAGCTCACCTACAGTCATGCATCTGCCACCAGGGCAGTGGCAGTATAACGTGAGCTAAGGTATGTCAAAATAAACCACATTTTACCATGCCAAAGCCCCTGTTGCATAGAAACACCTGCAACAGCCTTGAAACTTGGGCAAAGCAGAACTCATGCTCTGTTCACTGCTTTTTTGCTTGAACACACTACTGAAAGGCGGTAAAGGGGGACAGAGCAACACGCATCCAGCCCTACTTTTCATTTTCACTGTGAACATCAACGTCTCCAGTGAATACTCTGCCCCATCAGAGCATTTCCCAGTGCTTTGATTTCTCCTCCCTAGTTCTGTGCTCTTGGCTTTCAGTGTGACTGCTCACCTTTGCCAAATGAGCTGATTCAGTATTCGGTTACACACCCTTTGCTCCCTACTTTTTTTTTTTTAATCAAAGGGAAAAAAAGAACCAAACTGGAACTTGATACTGAGTCCTCTTAATTGCAAAGGGGAGAAATCATCTGCAGCAAGTATGACGTACAGCAGCAGCAAGCACGAAATGTATAACCTGATGTACAGCAGTAGCTGAGCAGAGAGACGCTCTCAAGCTCATTGGCTTCCTGCGGGATACCAAGGACTTAATTGTAAGAGTTTTGAAGCTTTTAAATGTCAGAGATGACAGAGCTCTGCATAATGGGAATAGTTTCAAGTGGGCCACAGCTGCCAGTTCCGTCTCCTGGGCTCTGTATATGTAATCCTCCCAAAAAGGATCGTCAGCCTCAGTTGACCAACAGAAATCAAGACACAGAACTTAAATGATTTCACAAGGCAAGCAAAAGAAGATGAAGACCCACCACGAGGCAATGCCAGCAGACTCCCCTCCGCAGCTTTCCCTTCTGGGCTGGAGCAACCTCTATAACAAGGAGGGAAGTTGTGGATTGAGACGTCACGGGGTTAGAAAACGCAGTACGTGATCAACTGATGTCTGGGCAGTGTCCTGCCGGACCACCATGTGTGCAGGGCACTGACAACAACAAACCTGACACCGAGCTGCTGTGGAAGCTCACAAAATTCCTGTCTCTTGCTACACAATGATGCCTGGATTAAGGTTACGTTCTTCTGTGCTGCATTTTGTCACGCAGCCGCTATTTTGGTCAGAAAGTCAGCAAGCCCTTATTTGGGAAGCTGTCCCACTGAAGGGCAGCATGAAGGGCAGTGAGATGAAAAGGCTGCTTCTGAAGGCAGGGCTGGGGGAGCTGCCTGGAGCCACAGGAAACCCAAACCTTCCTCTCTGCTTCTCGTTAATGTGCCAACATCCTTTTCTCAGCCTGACCCTTGCGTGTCTCTCCCTCTTCCCTCAAACGGCGTCCTGCGGCCGAGCTACTCCCACAACACAAGCACTCTGGGGAAGACACCGAAAGGGTTTAGAAATAAAATCCCCCTTCTTAGATAAAAAAGCCTTAGTGCTAGAGATTTAAAATGCCTAACTTCAAACAGGTTGGAAATCTGCAGACACACAGGTGAAGCTGCAGCAAGACAAACACAAAGTCCTCTCTTCAGAGGCTTTTTCTTTCACTCTTCTTGTCACACCACGGA